CTGAGGTGGACTGGCAGGCTTGGGGACAAGTAGAGAGGGGTATGTTATTTGAGGAATGGGCTCCATATTTTTGGCCAAGTTAGTGGGACAGTCCTCTAAGAAGGAGAGCAGGGAGCTGAAAGCTTGCAGAGGAAGTCTGTAGCGGTTGTGGAATTGTAACAGGGAGTCACTTACAGATGCAGAGAAAGTGTTTTGCACTTGCTAATAAGGGGTGAGTTGAGGCAGCATGTTGAGTCAGTTTTTTCACCTGCTTTAGCGTGCCCAGGAGTGGGAGCCGGAAAAGTAAACGGCAGTGTTGCTTAGGGCTGGAGCGGGGTAGGCAAAATGGCAGCAAGCACAGGGTTGAAGTGGCCGCTATGGAACCAGGGTAAGAAGGGAGAAAGTACAGCCAGAATAGGGGTGAGGGACTGAGAGAAAGCAGAGGGTTTCAGGGACTGGAGAGCAAGTCAACAGGAATGAATGAGGTGAGAAGATAGAGGATGGGGCTCAAAGAAGAGTTCAGATTCTGAAATTCTGGAGTTTCCAGGGAGGGAAGGTGGTGAGAGTCATGCCAGTTAGTGGCTGGACAGGAAGTGAAAGATCCCGTCCAGAATGGCTGGGCTTGAGACTTTCAGGGCTTTAGTAACCCATGCTGGGGTCAGGGGAGGCTGGCTGGGGAGGCTGGGAATGAAGCTGCTCTCAGCATCCCTAGTGACATTCAGGTTTGATTTCTTTTTTATTCATACAAGTGGTATATGTCCCTTTATTGCACAAAGGAACATTCAAATAATTTAAATAAAATAAAAATGGCCCATAATTCCATTCCTCAGAAATTATCAGCGGTAATATGTTGTTGAATACTCTCCCAGATCTGGATAGAGGTATCCTTTCTAATCGAGGCACTGGCAGATTTGGTGTTGCGTAAGGGCCCTTTTTCTTTTCTTTTCTTTATCTTTCTTTATTTTATTTTATTTTTTTGAGACAGAGTCTCACTCTGTTGCCCAGGCTGGAGTGCAGTGGTGCAATCTCGGCTCACTGCAACCTCCGCCTCCCAGGCTCAAGCGATTCTCCTGCCTCAGCCTCCTGAGTAGCTGGGACTACAGGAGAGCACCACCACACCGAGCTAATTTTTGTATTTTAGTAGAGATGGAAGCTTCTAGTTTGTGTCCTCACATGGAGGAAGGGCTATACATGCTTTTTTAAAAAAACTAAAATGAAGGTCACATTACATATATATACAATGGTTTTAAAAATAAACCTTTTTGGAATTTTGGTAATTCTGGAATAATTTTAGATATACAGAAAACTTGCAAAGCTAGTACAGAGTTTCCATACACCCCTTACACAGTTTCCTCTGATGTTAACATCTTGCATTACCGTAGTACATATATCAGAGTTAAGAAATCGGGGGTAGGGCGCAGTGGCTCCTACCTGTAACCCCAGCACTTTAGGAGGCTGAGGCAGGTGGATCACAAGGTCAGGAGTCTGAGACCAGCCTGACCAACGTGGTGAAACCCTGTTTCTACTAAAAATAAAAAAAAAAATTAGCCAGGCGTGCTGTCATGTGCCTGTAGTCCCAGGTACTCGGGAGGCTGAGGCAGAAGAATCGCTTGAACTTGGGAAGTGGAGGTTGCAGTGAGCCGCCACTGCACTCCAGCCTAGGAGATGGAGAGAGACTCTGTCTCAAAAAAAAAAAGAAAAAGAAAAAGAAATGGGGTCTCGCTATGTTTCTCAGGGTGGTCTCAAACTTAGGCTCAAGTGATCCTCTCAGAAACCCACCTCTACTAAAAATACAAAAATTAGCTGGGCATGGTGGTGCGTGCCTGTAATCCCAGCTACTTGGGAGGCTGAGGCAGGAGAATCGCTTGAACCCAGGAGGTGGAGGTTGCAGTGAGCCAAGATCGCACCACTGCACTGCAGCCTAGTGACAGAGCGAGACTCCACCTCAAGAGAAAAAAAAAAAAAAAAGAAATCAGCATTGGTATGTTATTATTCACTGAACTTCAGATTTCATTTGGCTTTCAGCAGTTTTCCCACTAATGTCTTTTTCTTATTCCAGGATCCAATCCAGGCTACCACATTGCATTTAGTATACATACTGTTTTGCAACCTGCTTGTTTTACTCCATGTTATGTTGTGAATGTCTTTCAATGATGCTAAACATTCCTCCACACCATCATTTTAATGGCTACATGGTATTCTGTTGATGGTTGTACCACTGCCAGTCCCTACTGTGGGATGCTTATGTTGTTTCCAATTTTTCACTCTTATAAACAAGGCTGGGATGAGCCTCTTGAAGTTAAATCATCTGGGCTATTCCTGTTTATTTCCTTACAATACATTCCTACTCATTGCTCCGGCTAAGGGGGTAACTTTGTGGAGGCTGAGGATACTTCTTACCCAACTTCCCTCCTGAAAGATTGTATTCATTTACCCTCATATTGGCATCAATCATGCTTTTTTTTTCGTTTTTATGACAAGAAGGGATGTAAGAGCAGACTGACCCTTAAGAGCGGCTGTCTCTCAATGCCAGTCTTGTCAATACCATATCCTACCTCTCTACCCTCAGCTCTCCTCTAGGCCATGGTGTCTGTGTTGGCCAGGACTGCAGTCAGCAGCTGGGGTGGGGGTTGGGTGTGGCCAGGTTATGGCCCCTGGGCTGTGGGGACACCTCCTGAGCTGGGAGCTGCGGAATGGGCCTCCCTCCTGCCTGGGCTTTGTTCTTTTTCCTGAGGCTGAGCTGTGGGAGGAAAGGGTTGGGTTGGGGAGAGGGTGTAAGGAGAGAGGGAGCCCTTCTCTCCCCCCATGAAAGCTGAGAGGCACGAGGGCAGCTCCCTGAGCCAGCCAGGGGACAGCAGACGGATTGGGAGAAACGTAACCTCCCCGAGATGCATGCTCCAGTTCAAGCAGGAGGCATTAAGGATGAAATATCTCCTGAGCAACAATTCATCTCTAACTGGGAGGAGAGGGACTCGCTGACATTTAGCTGTGATCAGGGGCTGCACATGCCTGTCTCCAGAAGCCTAACAGGAGCGTGACCGTCTGCGTGTACAGGACACTCTGTGTGCATGTGTGCACGCGCACGCATGTGTGTGTGTAATAGGGTGTGAGGAACTGTGTGTGGCTGTAATAAAGCAATGAGTATATGGGTGGCATGATGTGTAAGACACTGCATATGTGATGGGATATGAAGGCTTATGTGTGACTTTGGTGAGGCTGTGTATGCATGTGACAGTACATGTGTAAGGATCTTCGTGTGATTGTGAGGATCTTCAAGTGTGTGTGAAAGTCATGTCTGTTATAGTGCGCTGGAGCCTGTGTGAGCCTGTGTGTGACGTCGAGTAGTGTAGATGATTGTGTGAGTGTATGGTAGGGTGTTGTGCAGTACTCTGTGTGAAAGCCAGATTGACCTTGAAATTGGGCTTGAAACCTCATGAGATTAGGCATACGAGATAGTAGATGTGAAACTGACCCCCAGACTAAGCTAGCCACCACCACCTCAGGACACCGCCAGCCCAGGAAGTGCCTTTGAGAGAGTTAAAAAAGAAAGGCACCCCTTCTGCCACAAAGTCGCAGCCACAGGTGGTGCTCTCCTGGAGACTTCTCGTGCAGTGCAGCCTGCGTAACTCTAAGTGAAGACCCTGTGCAAACCCCCTGCTCTCTTCTAACCGTCCAGTGGAATTTTCTCCACCATGGCCCTTAATATGATTTGACTGTCTTTAACAATTTTGTGTAAATATTTGTTTAATGTATATATATATCTCTCTCTCCTGCTAGGCTGTATGCTCCATGGAGGCTGGGACCACTGGTCTAGGTCTGTCTCATTCAACATTGTCACACTGGCTCCTAGCCAGTGCCTGGGGCAGAGTGGTAGCTCCATGAATACCTGTTGGATGACTGAATGGATAAGACAGGACGTACATGTACAAGTGTGAGAGCACAGGCATATAGAAATGTGGACCTGAGCCAGGGCATCCGTGTGCATTCGCTGGATGTGTGTGCCTGTGAATGTCACTGTCATTCCTGGAAGACCTCCCTCTTCTATTTCCCTTTCTATAATTTTTTTTTGAGACAGAGTCTCACTCTGTTGTCCAGGCTGGAATGCAGTGGTGCAATTACGGCTCACTGCCCCCTGAGTTCAAGCGATCCTCCCTCCTCCCACCTCAGCCCCGGAATAGCTGGGAACACAGGCACGCGTCACCATGCCAGGCTAATTTTTTTTCTTTCTTTTCTTTTTTTTTTTTTTTTGAGATGGCATCTTGCTCTGTAGCCCAGGCTGGAGTGCAGTGAAACAATCTCAGCTCACTGCAACCTCTGCGTCCCGGGTTCAAGCAATTCTCCTGCCTCAGCCTCCCAAGTAGCTGGGATTACAGGCACAGGCCACCACGCCAGGCTAATTTTTGTATTTTTAGTAGAGACAGGGCTTCACCATGTTAGTCAGGCTGGTCTCGAACTCCTGACATTGTGATCCACCCACCTCAGCCTCCCAAAGTGCTGGGATTACAGGTGTAAGCCACCATGCCTGGCTCTCTTTTTTCTTTTTTGTAGACACAGGGTCTCACCATGTTGCCCACACTGGTCTCTAATCCTGGACACAAGCGATCCTCTCACCTTGGGCTCCCAAAGTGCAGGGATTACAGACATGAGTCACTGTGCCCAGCCCCTCTCCTATTTCCTAAGCCCCCAGCTCCAGACAGGCTAAAGGCAGACATGGCCTGGAGACAGGAGGACATTTGAGAAGGAGTCCAGCTCCCGCTTTGCACTGTGTTTGGTTGAGGGTGGCAGGAGTGGTGAGATTGGGCTTATTGGCTGGAGGAACAGCATGGGGTCAAATCCTTCCGCAGTCTACCCTCAATGTTCACCTGACTCATTTTCCAGGCCTGTTTGAGGTCCTGAGAAGAGTTCTGGGAATCAGGCCTGTCTTCATCTGCTCCTGCTGCTTTAACAAAATATCTTAAAATGGGTAATTTATAAACAAGGGATTTATTTACTTATTTAGAGGCAGGGTCTTGAAATGTCACCCAGGCTAGAGTGCAGTGGTGCAATCTCAGCCTACTGCAACCTCTGCCTCCCAGGCTCAAGCCATCCTCCCACCTCAGCCTCCCAAGTAACTGGGACTACAGGCGTATGCCAGCATGGCTAATTTATATGTATATATTTTTAGAGACTGGGTTTCTCTGTGTTGCCCAGGCTGATCTCAAACTCCTGGGCTCAAGCAATCTCACACCTCTGACTTTTAAAGTGCTGGGATTATGGTCATGAGCCACTGCATCCAGCCTGGAAATCTATTTCTTACAGTTCTGGAGTCTGGGAAGTCTAAGATCAATGCACCAGTGGATTCAGTGTCTGGTAAGGTCTTGCTCTCTGCTTCAAATATGATGCCTTTTTTTTTCTTTTTTTTTTTTTTTGAGACAGAGTCTCACACTGTCACCCAGGCTGGAGTGCAATGGTGTGATCTTGGCTCACTGCAACCTCTGCCTCCCGGATTCAAGTGATTCACGTGCCTCAGTCTCCCAAGTAGCTGGGATTACAGACAAGCACCACCATCCCCGGCTAATTTTTTTATTTTAGTAGAGACTTTAGTAGGGGTTTTACCATGTTGACCAGGCTGGTCTCAAACTTCTGACCTCAAGTGATCCACCCGCCTCAGCCTCCCAAAGTGCTGGGATTATAGGCATGAGCACCACACCAGTCCTGAGGTCTTCTTGCTGCATCCTTACATGGTGGGAGGGGCTGGGCAGCTCTCTTCAGCCTCTTTTCTAAGGACGGTAATCCCATTCATGAAGGCAGAGCCCTCGTGACTTAATCACCTCCCCAAGGCCACATCTCTTATTACCACCACAATGGAGATTAGGGTTCCACATGAATTTTGGAGGGACACACTGAGATAGCAGCTGGGCCACAGGCACCTGGGACTGGACAGACCCTTGCAGCATTTCTCAGGAGAGACCCCTGTCCATGTTCTTCAGGCCTATGTTCCAAGGCCAGCCCTTTACACACTGTTTGCCCAACACTGGGGTTCACAGAACCAATTCTGCTTGTGTCTTTTTATTTTATTTTTTTTTGAGATAGGGTCTGAGTCTGTCGCCCAGGCTGGAGTGCAGTGGCGCAATCTCAGTTCACTGCAACCTCTGTCTCCTGGGTTCAAGCGATTCTCCTGCCTCAAACTCCTGAGTAGCTATGATTACAGGCATGCAACATCACGCCCGGCTAATTTTTGTAATTTTAGTAGAGACGGCTTTCACCATGTTGGCCAGGCTGGTCTTGAACTCCTGGCCTCAAGTGATCAACCCACCTCGGCCTCCCAAAGTGTTGGGATTACAGGTTTGAGCCACCATGACTGGGCCCTGCTTGTATATTTATGTGACTTACTCTGGTAGATATAGGAGTTTTTTGTCACCAATGCCACACCAGCCCTACCCCTAGGTATGGCCTAGTCCCTGAGAACGAGGGCCCTGTGGTCTTGCATTTGGAGGGAGGTGTGCCTGGGGGAATACAGAGATGAAAAGGATCAGTTGGCAGGGGGAGATTTGGCAGGGAGGTTTGCAGAAGCAGAGATGAAATGAGCTAAGAAGCATGAAGGGGACAGGAAAGCAAGCATGTTGGGGGCTGAACAGGTTTGGGGCAGAGCAGGAGGCAAATGGCTCAGCATAGGGGCCTGACGATGCCCTCGGTGGGCAGATGGGAGGAGGCTGGAGTTCACCAGAGCCCCAAGTGGCCATCAGCATAGCTAGCCCCACTCTAACCCCTAAAATCTGGGGTGGTTCCTAAGGCTCACTCATGCTGGTACTCTAGGAACAGAGGTGGGAACCTGCTTAGCTGAGGAAATGCATTCAGAGGGTTTCTTGTGGGAGTGATGCTCTGTCCCAGCATGGCCAGAGAGACCACAGGACAGTTGATAGAAGAGACTCAAGATGGTGGCTGTCCTTGTGTAAACTGCTTCCCCCTCTAAACGAGAGAGGAGGAAGAAGTGCTCTGCCAGAGCTCCTGCTCACACTGTGTTAATGGGACTCGGTTATTGGGGCAAAATCCAAGGGCTGCACTCACCCAGTGGCTGCACTGTCTCCGCTTTCCCAGCCAAGGCTTAGGCAGACACGGGGTCCTGGGGGTGTCTGTCACACCCCGGAGGCCCCTTCCCTACCCATAGGGGCTCTAACCTTTCACCCTCCTTTCCTGCCTCTACCCCCATTCTTCTAGAGTCTGAAAAGCTTGCTGTTTGGTCTGGAATCTGACCTCCTGAGGAGGCACTTCCCTGCCTCTGGCCTCTGGCCTCTGCCCTCTTTCCTAGGGCCCTCAGTGCTTCTTCCCTGGGGGTTCCCAGCCTGCGCAGAGACTGGCCCCTCTGAGGCAGAAGATATTTGCTTTGCTCCTGGCTTTGGGAAACCACACCTTTCATCTCCCAGAAGGAGGATCAGGACAGGCTCCTAGGGGATGGGGGAGGGGGCGAGCCTGCTCTCTTCTGTCACCATCCCCCCACAATTTTCAAAGCTGTTTGGCTCCATATATGACTGGAACCAATTGCAGGCAATGTCCCTGTCAGGGCATAGCTGTGCTCATCCATTACCTGCTGGAATCTCGCCTACTGCCCTCTCAGGGGGACCGGCTCAGGCATTCAGTTGACCCTTGACAAGTTGGAAAGGCCAAGGGTATCTTTTCCTTCCTCTCTTCTTAGTAATGACTTGATCAGACTGCAGGCTCCTTGAGAAAGGAGTCTTATTCATCTTCGTGTCACCAAAGTCCACATGGTCCACATGGTAGTCACTAAATAAAACATGGAAAAAATGAATTAATGCAAGAGGGGGAAAGGGAGGACTGTAGCCCTTTTCTCTGTGATGGAAGTGCGGCGAGGTTGTGCTTATTAACAGGTATGTCTATGGCCATAATGTCTTCTGGTGGTGGCAAGGGGAAACTGCTTGTTTCCCTCCCACCTGGCCACCTCCCAGGGTCACTCCATCATCTGTTTGCTCAGCATTGGAGGTGAGGTGGGGAGTAACTACTGAGCATTTGGGCTGTCCTCAAAATGTAGGTGGCCTTGTCCATATGCAGGGAGCCACCAACCCCATTTTTTCTGTAGACACTCTGCCTTGGGCAGAGCCCTGTGTCAGGCATCAAGAAGGGATCTAGTCTCAAAACGTCAAACAAGAATCCAGTTCCCTTCTTCCTACTTTCCCCCTCCGCCCCCCAACACTCTGGTAAAATTTATTCAGAGCTGTGAATTGGAGAGCAATTCCTTTTGGATTCCATGATCAGATCAAGAGATGCACTTTGGGCTCTGAACTCAATCCAAATGCACACTCTGGGTCCTTTCTATCCCCGTGCAGGGACTCAAACCATGTGTAACTGGAGGAGTTGACTACTTGCAAAAAACCTAGGTGCCTCTGCATCCCTGAGAGGACAAGAGAGTGACAGAGTCCAGGGGTGGGGAGAGGTGACAGCTCCTGCTGCCTCTGACATGGTCACTACCGTTGGTAACTCTGGAGGAGGTCCCTCTCCGCAAATGCTTCGGACCTCAAGATCTCACTGTCCATGAAAGAGACATGGGATATCCAAATCTCTCTCTATGGCACACCTTCCATAAAAGGGCAACATGTCTCCATTCTTTCTGGGGACAACCTTTCTGGGAAATATATAAGCCAGAGCAAGACTATGATGATCTCACAGGACAAGCCAGCAGGGGAGCAAAGAGCTTATCTCCTGTCTTGTCTTTTCTTTCTTTCTTTCTTTCTTTCTTTCTTTCTTTCTCTCTCTCTCTCTCTTTCTTCTTTCTTTCTTTCTTCTCTTTCTTTCTCCTTCCTTCCTTCCTTCCTTCCTTCCTTTCTTCTTTTCTTTCTTTCTCTTTCTTTCTCTCTTTCTTCTTTTCTTTTTTGGTGGAGTCTCACTCTGTTGCCCAGGCTAGAGTGCAGTGGCATGATCTCAGCTCACCACAACCTCTGCCTCCTGGATTCAAGCAATTCTCCTGCCTCAACCTCCTGAGTACCTGAGATCACAGGCACACACCACCATGCCTGGCTGATTTTTGTATTTTTAGTAGAGACAGGGTTTCACTATGTTGGCCAGGCTGGACTCGAACTCCTGACCTCATGATCCACCCGCCTCAGGTTCCCAAAGTGCTGAGATTACAGGTGTGAGCCACCGCGCCCAGCCTTCTTTCTTTGTTTACTCACCACTACACCAACAAGGACAGATTTTCTACATTGGTAAGTCCTAGCAGGAAATACACTTTCCCTGCTTCCTTTGGGCTTCAGGGACCAACCTGCCTTCAGGGATCAACTAGACAAACCCAGCCTGTTTGTGTTCAGCAAAGATCCAAGAAAAGATGTTGGCAGAGTATTAGTTCCCCTGAGAGGGCAAGGCAAGCCTACTCTCCCCAGGCCCAGCCAGGCAGGCCTCTGTAACTGGTGGCAGAATGCCCACAGCTAAGTGGCCACAGGTGAGTTATCAACCAACAGCCCCAAAGCTAGAGCATCCAAGCAAGTAAAAAAGACAGAGCAGATTTCAATGGATTGTGGTTAGGACAGTCAAGGAGTCCAGAATCCAAAAGGTCAAACAAAGCAATGGAAACTTGAGCCTGAGGCAAGAATGATTGAGTGAGGCGGTGCCGTGGGGCAAAAGGTACAAGAGCTTATTTTGACCAGATGGAAATGATGGGTATACTCAGACACTTCTAGACAGGAAAAGGGGACCTGGGGGTGTCCTTAACAATGCTGCGGTGGTGGAGATGCTGCAGGACCTAATTTCATTATTAGGTGATGGTGGAAGTTGTTGTTGTAGTGAGATTCATAGTTATAGAGACTGTAGTAATTACGGTAATAGCAGGAATGGGGTGATGAGTGGTCACAGTGTTGCCATGGGTAGTGGTTGTTGCCAAGGGGATAATGAGAGTTAGGATGATAACTATTGTCATGGGGAAGGACATGGTGACACTGAAGCTAGAGTAACAGAAACAATCATTTTGGGGTGACGACAGTATCAGTGAATGATGGTGACAATAATTACAGTCACCAGTGAAGAGGTGATTGTGATGGTGGAGGAGACGTTGACTTGTTATCCAGAGGAGGGCATGATAAGGTGATAAGAATTACATTGGTAAATGTGGACTCTTCATGTGGTATCATTGTTCTTTCTTTAATCCACATAATATATGAGATAAGCCTGATCCTTCAGAGGAGCTCAGGAGGAATATGTCATGGCCCTGGGTCTCTCTGAACCTAACACCTCTGTGATCAGACCTGTACTGTTTTTCCTGGTCCACCCTGTTCTGATTAAAGGCAAAGCGGAGACTGGAGGGTAACCCATACCCCAGCTTTTCCTTTTCTTTCTCCATCTTCCTAGGGGCCTACTTGCTTCCTAAGATAGTCCTTCTCCAGGGTCCAATATAGGAAACCAAGGCATAGTTGTTCCTCGTGGGCTGAAGCCAGAGTACTCTGGGTATGCCAAGCATCTGGCTGGAAAAGGAATAATGCTGCCAAAAGGCCTTTGCAGCAGTAGGAACAGTGGTTACTGTAACTATTATTCTTAACTCACGGCTGGTCTTCAATCTCTAATTGGCTTCAACCTCTGGCAATTCCCTTAATCTGCACTGGCTACTAGCCAAATGTGGCTATTGCGCATTTGAAATGAACTAGTCCAATTCAGATTGAGCGTAAGATATACATTGGAATTTGAAGACTTAGCATGAAAAAAAGAATGTAAACTCTTTATCTCTCTTTTTTCTTTTCTTTCTCTCTTTCTTTCTTTCTTCTTTCTCTCTCTCTTTTTTTTTTTTTTTTTTTTTGAGACAGGTTCTCCACCTATCATCCAGTCTGGGGATGCAGTGGTGCAATCATAACTCACTGCAGCCTCAAACTCCTGGTCTCAAGCAATCTTCCCACCACAGCCTCCTGAGCGGCTGGGATTATAGGTGCACACCACCATGCCCAGCTAAATTTTTAATTTTTTTGTAGAGACAGGGTCTTGCTATGTTGTCCTGGCTGGTTTCAAAGTCCTGAGCTCAAGTGATCATCCCACCTTGGCATCCCAAAGTGCTGAGATTACAGGTGTGAATCATTGAGTCTGGGCCTCTTTATCACTCTAATATAAATTTGTATATTGTTCACATGCTGAAGTAATATTTTGAAGATATGGGGTTAAATGTAATATATTATTAAAGTTAATTTCACCTTTTTTAAAAATATGTCTACTGGAAGATTTTTTTTTTGAGACAAGTTCTTGCTCTGTAACCCAGGCTGGAGTGCAGTGGTGCTATTACTAGATGGTTTTAAATAACATATATGGTTCACATTATATAATATGGTGATGCCTTAGCTCCTTTCTTCTCATTTGCTCAGGGAAGCAAAGGGAAATAAAGCAAATTCCAAAATTGCAGTAGGTTAGCACCTAATAAGTTAGTTTCTCTTTACCATAAAATCTAAGCAGAAGCACCGCAGGGCAGATGTGGCAGCTCCACTCCAGTGTCAGGGTGCCAGGGTCTCTCTTTACTGTGCCTACACCATTCTCAACACATGGCTTCCACCTTGAGGATTAAGATGACTGCTCTAGTTTCTATATCCATTTACATCCAGTGAAAAGGAAAGAAGGGGGTGTCAACTCCATTAGGGCAGAGTCCAGAAGCACATATTACTTCTGCTTGCATCTCATTGGCCAGAATCTGATTACCTGAACACACCTGGCTGCAAAGGAGCCTGGGAAATGTAGTCCTAAATCAGGTGGCCATGCTCCAGCTAACACTTGGGGATTTTATCATTAAAGGAATAAAGGGAGAATGGCTACTGGGGCATAACCAGCAGTCTCTGCTACACTCAGAGGAGGGCTATTACCCAAGGTTCATATCTACTACAGGTCCAAGGAGTGGCTGGCACCACTAACAGCAGAAGGATAAAGCATATAATCTCCAAGAAAAGCCTGTTCCTTTTAAACAGATGTCTTCATTTATTTATTTATTTTTATGTTTATGCTTTGAGACAGAGTCTTGCTCTGTTGCCCAGACTGGAGTGCAGTAGTGTGAGCTCAGCTCACTGCAACCTCTGCCTCCTGGGTTCAAGTGATTCTCCTTGCCTTAGCCTCCTGAGTAACTGGGATTACAGGCACCTGCCACCATGCCTGGCTAATTTTTGTATTTTTAGTAGAGACAGTCTGGGCTGGCATTGTAGCTCACACCTGTAATCCAGCACTTTGGGAGTCCAAGGCGGGTGGATCACCTGAGGTCAGGGATTCCAGACCAGCCTGGGCAACATGGTGAAACCCAGTCTCTACTAAAAACACAAAAATTAGCCAGGTGTGGTAGTAGCTTGAGCCTGTAGCCCTAGCTACTTGGGAGGTTGAAGCAGATGAATCGCTTGAATCTGGGAGGCAGACATTGCAGTGAGCCAAGCCGAGATCACACCACTGCACTCCAGCCTGGGCAACAGAGTGAGATTCTCTCTCAAAAAAAAAAAAAAAGGCCAGATGTGGTGGCTCACACCTGTAATCCCAGCACTTGGGGAGGCCGAGGTGGATGGATCACTTGAGGTCAGGAGTTGGAGACCACCCTGGCCAACAGGGTAAAACCCTGTCTCTACTAAAAATACAAAATTAGCCAAGCATGGTGGCTCATGCCTGTAGTCCCAGATACTCGGGAGGTCTCAGCTACTCGGGAGGCTGAGGCAAGAGAATCACTCAACCTGGGAGGCCGAGTTTGCAGTGAGCTGAGATTACAACACTGCACTCCAGCCTGGGTGACAGAGCAAGACTCCATCTCAAGAAAACAAATAAATAAATAGGCCGGACACAGTAGCTCGCACCTGTGATCCCAGAACTTTGGAAGGCCGAGGTGGGAGGATTACCTGAGGTAAGGAGTTGGAGACCAGCCTGGCCAACATGGTGAAATTCCATCTGTATTAAAAATACAAAAATTAGCCGGGTGTGGTGGTGCATGCCTGCAATCGCAGCTACTCATGAGGCTGAGGCAGGAGAATCACTTGAACTCGAGAGGCGAAGGTTGCAGGGACCAGAGATCGCACCACTGTACTTCAGCCTAGGCAACAGAGTGAAACTTCATCTCAAAAAATAATAAAATAAAATCAAGTAAAAATAAATAAATAAAAATAAATGAATATATAAAGACAGCCTAAGTCCCAGCATATTTTCAGATATTCCTTGATCAGAACGATTTTAAGAGAGGGAAGAAAAAGGACAGTTTAACAAGAAAGAGAAAGAAGGAGAATGAGGACGGGTGCATGGCTGGGAAGTATTGTTTGAGTTGTAAGCTCTCTTGCTGGGACCACACCTGTAATTCCAGTATTTTGGACATTTATACTCAAGGTCTTCATAGTCATGTGATATAGAAACAATGGCTCCAACCATTTGTTAAGTAGTTCTGTTTATTACACTCCTGCTTGCCCACCTTCTTTCCCTGCACTTTTGACCTTCCCCACCTCTATCAGGTGCCCAGGCCAGGCACAGAAGTGAACCCAAGAGACCTACGAGACCTGTACTTAAAGAAGTGGTGTGTCTGGGGAGTCAGAAAACAGCCAAGGACAATTATCCAGACAGCCACAGTGGGCAAAGGCTGAGGCAGACACGCTGGACCTAGCTCTGACTTTTTCTTTGACCCAGATATTCTCAACAAAAAGATATTCAAAAGTAAAGTTGGTCTCCATGAAGACAGGACCTAGCTCTGTCGTGTCCACCAATGTGTTCCTGTTGCCTGGCACAGAACAAGAGTTTGGTAAGCGTTTTGCTGAACAGATGAATGAAGATGATTGGGCTTTCTCTGGAGTCAGATTCGGAGTTCAGCTGTGAGGAGAGGCTACTGGGAGGTTATGTGGGTTTTGAAGTTGGGGCTCCACAGCACCCTCCCACCTACCCCTCCTTTTCCAATCCCATCCTCCCAGGCTCTTTCTCTCGGTGATGGCTGGTCACTCAAGCCCAGGGTAGGCTGCTGTAGGGGAACTGGATGCGGTGGGCAGAGAGGTGGGGCAAGTGTGGGCCGGCCCTCCCTCAGAACCCGCTGCCCTGGCAGACTCACCTTTGCTCTTGGACAAGGCTTCCCTGGCGGCCACCTCCTCCACGATGCTCCTTCTCTCTCAGCAAGGGTCAGATAAGGAGACGGCAATCAGCCCCAGGAGAAGGCCTGGCCGATAGAGGGGCCCAAACCCCGGACATCCCCCCTCCTCCCATACATCTTGGTGTCAAACACATTTTATTTCCTCACGTCTGGGGACCCGGGAGCTTACCCTCCAGGATTACTTCCTCCTCCGGTTTGTTTTCCAGCTGGAGACTCCAGGAGCCCCTCGGCAGGGGGGCGGCTCCTCCACTGTGGCCCACAGGCTTCAAAGGGCCCAGAGTGGAATGCCGCAGCAAGAGAGGCTGCTGGCCTGGGAGGAGGGTTGGAGGCATCCCAAGCCCAAGATACGGAGAGCGGTGGCCTTGCGGGGGCTCGGGCTGGGTACCCACTCATTTTCAAGCTGCCCCCCCATCCGCTGAAGGACCCTATCCATGGGCAGAAGGTGACTTCAAAGGTCAGCGATGGGGGACTCCCTACCACCCCCTCCCCCAGGGCTTAGAGGGGGCCAGGAAGTGCCCCCCCCCATGATGGATTAGGTGCCTAAGAGCCATGTCGAGCTTATGGACGGGAGACCTACTCTTTTTTCATGGGGCTCAGATTTCACGATTTGGGGGGGGGTGAAATAATTAGTAATTTGTGATTAAGCCTTTTCATGGATATTTTGTTTCTTTGTTCTGTGATGTTGCCCGGAGCCATTTAAAAAATGACTTAATGACAAAGAAAAAATAATTGCTCTTTGTAACTAATGACTGTGTCAGAACTTGGAAATCACCAAAGCCTCGGAAAGTAGAAACCGAGAAGGGGGTGGGGGTTCCACTCTCCAAGGGTTCAGATCAGCAATCATAAAGTGGCCTGGGATCCTCTTGCACCTGGACAGCCCCCTGCCCTTCCCTGGAGCCAGCAGCCAGCACCTGCAGGCTCAGCCTGGGGGCTTCTGGGCCTAGGGTCCCTTAGGCACCTTTGCCCCTGGGCTGAGAGGAATGGTCAGAATGCCCAAGGCCAGCCTAAACTGCCCCAGCTCAGCCTCACCTTGGAGTTGCTTCCTCCTTCATAAAATCCCCCTGGAAAGACATTTCTCCCACTCTGGTGGAGGAGCAAGGGGTAATTATGTCCTTTCTTCTCCACTCCTGCAGCTTCCTATAGAGCTCCAGAGTTGCCCTGGGATTCTGGATTCTCCTGGGTCTTTACTTTTTTTTTTAGTATTTAATTGTCAAAGATTGAAGGCCAGGCGAGGTGGCTTACACCTGTAATCCCAGCACTTTGGAAGGCCGAGGTGGGCGGATCATGAGGTCAGGAGTTCAAGACCAGCCTGGCCAACATGGTGAAACCCCATCTCTACTAAAAATACA